AAATAAAGACTTCAGATACAAGTATTTATTTGCAGGTGCTAAATGATTTCTTGATTAATTCTGCAACCTGCTGCTTTCTTGCCTCTAGCCCTCGCTGCTCAGCGTTTCACAGAGAAAGTATTTTAGCTCAACAAAAAGAACTTTCAGGCTGAAATTTTCTTGATGTGGGCAGCAGGGCAGTAATTGGTTTGAAAAACAAAACACTGAGGAAGAACATGAAACTCATCTGAAACCCTTTTACCTAGATAAAGACTTTGGTTTACCATCAGCATATTCCTAAACTTCTCCAGACCACCTAAAGAAGCATTATCACTACAGCAGATGTTAAATGCAAGCATTACTTTAAAGGGGGGGAGGGGGGAGAAGAAAGAAATAACCTGTATAGAAATATAGATACAGATAGATAGGTACCACAGTAGGCTCTCAAAATTTCAGGCTTTCACATCCCTCTATTTTACAGTGGGATATCATCAAAATTAACTTGACAATATATCATTACAGGAAAGGAATGGCTATCATCCCCATACCAGCAGCCCAAACAGGATCTGAATGCAGGATCCTTCAGCAGACTGTCTTTCCAAGTCAGCAGCATTGCCGTTTGCTCCAAGGAGCACATGGAGGAATATGTGGCAGATCCAACATTTTTGGAGGCACACAAAGAACACAAACAGTGTAAACCATTAGATCAGGCTCCTGCCTGCCAGTGAAAAGCCCGTGCAGTCGGGTACAAAAGTGGTGACAAACTGAAATCCTAGGTGTTTCAAGGAGAATTTGAGCAGTGCTTTTTACTTTATTCATAGTTTACTGCATGGCATGTGATTCCCCTTTTCACTCTGGAACAAGCCTTACTGAGAAAAAGAAGAGTCCTGCACAGTATATTACCTCTTCCCACCCTTTTTACAGCAGTAAAAACAAGATAATCAGATTTGTGACAATTTAATTATCACCCTCCTAAGGCGGCTGCCCTATCCTGACCCTGCTAGGGGGCCCATGGTGTGCTAAAACCCCACGACTTGGCTGAGACCTGCTGGGAAGCCAGCAGCAAAACATCTCCACAAGGCAGCTGCCTCAGGAGACCGCATCCTCTTTCTGTACATCACCTTTTTAAATGGGCAAAAAAGATTGAACCTCAGACCAAGAATTCAAGTAACTTCTAAGCAAAATGAGCCTTAAAATCTTTGTAGCACCCTGCCACTGGTCCGTACCTAGGGAAACGCATCAAGGCTGGGCCTATCCATCAGGACTGAGGAATCCCCTTTTTGTCTTGCATCAGGGATGCCAGAGCACGTCAAGGTGAAACAACTTGCAGGTAGCAGGAATTATGCATTTTCTAACAAAGAGGGGGCGGGAGGAGTCCTCTGGCAACATAAGTCAGTTCAGATGGTGCTGGCTTACAGGTCCCTTCCTTTAAATTGATTAATAATGACACATTTAAATGGATAACATAAATTAATTCCTGAATTGCACCATTAGTAAGCAATTAATTTCTTTGCTCTGTGAAACTAAGATATCACTGTTATCTAAATCTATAAAGAGAAGAAATGCTGAACGAGGACTCCATTAATGTAAAAATTGATTTTTCCATTTACCCTCTTCTGAGGGTTTTCCTCCCTCCCCCCTTCGCTCCAATGCATTTATTTTTCAAGTGGCTGAGGGTGGGGAGAGTAACCTAATTTATACTTCCAGTGGTAATCAAAAGATCATGCACACTTATTTCAACCAAATGATGTCATTATGAAGGCTGTTAACACCGTGGTTGCCTTGGAAACACAAAATACTGATAGTTGAGGTTGGACATCTGAGTCTTCTGTAGGCACAGTAATGAGGAAATGGTGTGGCCCCGCCAGACCTGGCCTGACTGGTCATGTTGGGAAGATCACCCCAAGATATTCAGATGGTCTTTTTAGCACTTATCGGGCTTCCATTTTTCCTATTCCTCCCACCACCTGCCATAACCTATTACTTTTATGGAGCCAGGAGTGGAGAACTTGCTCAGTTCAAAGGCAAGCAGAAGTGACAAGGCGTGGGGTAGGACCAGCTCGTCCCAGCAGGAAGAAGATGCCAGCTAAAGGCTGCATGCTGCTTACCACCAGCTGGCTCACTTCTGCGTTTCAACCCAAAAAGACACACCTGGTGCCTCTGCCATCCTTTCGGTGCAGCCCAGCATGGAGATTTACTGGGGACTCAGAGTGTCTCTGTCAACCAGAGCCAGCATCCAGTTGTAGCCAAGGTGTTAGACCCTCCTTTCCAAACCTAGGGACATGGTAAATGGTCTAGCGCATATTCAGCCTTGGTGCAGGAGATCATGCGTTCAGCATCCTGTTCCCTGCTCCAGAGGGGAAGGTGTCGCCTAAGAGAGGGGAGCTTCACTTTGGGTGCCTCAGAGCAAAGGATTTCCTTGCAAAGATCAGCAACCTCACTCTGGATGAACATAACAAGATGTATCTGTTCCCTCTTATAGCCCTGGATCCTTCAAGTGAGTATACTTTGACTAAGAGCTATTTTAAAAAACAATCCCAGAAATGGAACTGACTTTCTAGCTACTACTTACAGAAAAAAAGCCTTAGTTTTTTCCATGCAGTGGATATTTCCCTGGCCATTCTGCCAAGGAGGCTTTAGGCACCTGTCCCCACAGATGTGGTTTGCATGAGGGAGACATTGAGAATTGGTTGACACCAGTTAGCCAGCAGGCTCTGAGCAGCCCAGGACTTTAGTCCAACAGTAGAAAAGGATGCAGACTGATGCTGTGGTTTCAGGACAACTCCCTGGGTCTCTTTAGCCAGTTCTGCTCTTCCCAGTTCAAGGTACTGGGAGACAAATTTTAGGACTGAACTGGAGATGCATTAGTACCACTGATGCAAAGAGCCACTTCTGCCTCCCTCTGCCAAGAAAGCCTCATCCTTCCCACTAGGGTCCTTCAGCAATGCCAAGCCATGAATTTCACAGCTTCTTTTCAGCTCTTTTTTATCTACTCTGTCCTGAGAACAATGCAATGTCATCTCTGATCACATCATGCTGAGCTGAAAGTCAGCTTTAAGGTACACCTTGGAGAGACAGGGCACAACCTGAACCACGTCTTCAAATGTAGGCACCGTATCTAACGTAGGCACCACTCTAAAGAAGAGAACAGAGCAAGTTGAATTATTTACAGTGAGTATTTTGGCTGTGTCTTTTTTTCTTCCCCCCTCTTCTTGTTAAAGAGCACAAAACAAAACACACATACAAACAAGTCAGTGGGATGAAACATTTACTATCTGTGCAAGAAGTGTTAAATGAACTCATTTCATCTTCTCGATTAATATCCGGATGTCCCCTAGTCACTGCAGGTTTTTTTCACTTTGGTGAGTAGGTAATGACATTAATACCATCATGTGATCTTCATTCTCTCCCTTTATTGAGTCACCTTCCCCTCACATGCAGGAGTTTCTTTCAAAGTTCATCAATTGAAATTGTTTGAATGCACCGAGAAAAATAATAAAAAGAACATTTCATAACACTGGCAGGAGCACTTCAGGCATGAGCATTTTGAATATTTATTCACCCTTTGTGTGAGCAATCTCAGCAAGAAAAAGTCAGCGTGAATAAAAGGAATTGCAAATACCAGCAAAGTAGCATGGTAGTTTTCATTCACAAGAATATTTGCACAGGCTTCTGGGAGAATTATCAGGCGAGGTAATACAAAATCCCTCGTAGCATCAAAGCTTTGGACACTCTGTAATTCTCCTTGCCCAATGAAAAACATATTTTCCTGAGAACAGAAGGCCTAAGCTGGTGTTTTTTTCCCAGCTTGGGAAGCCTGGAGAAGGATTGGAAAAGCTTGGAGAATTGTTATCTTTGCCCCGTTCCTGTTTCATAGTGCCTCATATTTCCTCTGCCTCTCCTCTCCCATCCACTATCTTTCCCTTGAGCTGAAATGGAGAGAACAAGCTAAGCTTTCTTCAGAAGTCCAAAAAAGGGCAGGGGGGGAAGAGATGGCCAAGCAGCCAACACTGTTGCAGCCACGGGAAGGTGGGGGACTCACAGGGAAATGCTGGGCAAGGAGCGAGTCACAGCAGAACTTTGTACTACAGGTCTGGATTAGACAAGATCCCATTTGGGATCGAAATAAGGACAAATTGCTAAGGAGTAGAGCCAAAACATCCTTCTGCCTGGGAGAGAGAAAGCAGGACAGCAGTATCCAATGAGATTTTGGGGCTCAGCAATAAAAGCACAGGGGCCAATTTACTCATAATTGGCCTTTATGGGCAAAAAAATCCTACGGAATTTCATTCTTGCCATAGAATTTTATAGGGTGATTCAGAAACTTATAGAAAGGATATTGTTTTCCATTATCTTGCACAGGTTTTTAGAACATTTCTCTAGAACCCTGTTGGTTTCAGCCCTGTTAAATTCAATAACTTCCCTAAGGGAGTGCTTTAAGTGTCAGGCTTGATTCAGTTATATAAAGGGATAAGGGAATAATCATTAGACAGTGCACGGGGATGGGAGAAGTGGTTTTGTGTGGCACCAGTCTTATTTAAGAACAGTCTGAATTTATAGATGAGGCTGATGAGAAAGTTGGAAGCAACTAACATAGGTGTAAAAGAAAAAACCCAGGCAGTGCTTTTAGAGAGGGCTGTGATTAACTGGGATACCACAGAGACATGAGGATGGCTTCAGACGAGTATTTTAAGTGTTTTTAGATGTTTGTCTTGGTTTCATCAAGATGATGTCCCATGTACTATTTTTGCTATTCATAATGTAAGCTATGGGCACTTGAGTTTATGTAAGAGCCTGTATTGCTTGCTTTGCAATTAACACATCCTGCAATTAGCAATCCAAAACACTGAAGTCTTTAATATTTCTTCTTACTGCTAATAAAGAATATTTTATTTCTAATATACTGTTGTCTTTGCACCTTAATTTATTATGACAGTGTGAACCATGACTAATCCTTCTATGTGCTGAGCACAGACGCAGACCAAAAACCCAAATCAGCATCTCTCCTTCCAACTACTTACCTAGCACCCTCGCCAGAAAGGGGATAGGTGGACAAACGTGGCCTTCAGGAGACAACAAGTGTGAAGCGGGTGATTATCTCCACCCAGACCTACTCTGATCAGGAGGCACCTGCAATTTGAGGAGGAGAAAGGACATGAGATTGGTTTTACATGGTGTTGCAGCAGGGGACAGACAGACAGGTTGTAAGGGCACATGTGACCTTAATGATGCTCTAACTGACTTTGCACCTAGTCTGTGCTTCTCAAATGTCAAAAAAACCCCAAGCAGATAGGCCCAACTCCATTTTCTTCACTAACAAAACGAAAGAACGTGCATTGTTCAGCCAGTGACTAAAAAGACTGCAGCTTTCTGCCGCTAACCAGGTATATTTATCAGCACTTCCCAGCAGATCTGCTTCATAAACCGGTTATCCTCAGGTTCCTCACCCACACCCGAGACCCTTCAGGATGAGGCACCTCATGACTCCTCACCATCTGAGCCTGATCCAGCCTCATTAGCTGGGACCCTTAGGGCCACACTCATGCATTGTGCAGCACCTTCCCAAGTCTGCACCCGATGGTGCCCAAGACGCTGGTGAGAAACACTGCCAGCACCAGCTCCGACTGCAACATGAGCCTGGATATTGCTGGAGGCAGCAGCAGGAGAGGCAGGATTAGAGCCTTTCCCAGTTTTGCCATCAATGACCAGAAACTAGTAGCAGCAGGTGGCAAGGCTGGTTGGTGCCAGAAGGTGGTGAGGTCATTCACATCCCTCCCTGCAGCACCCACATAGCTGGGAAAAAACTTCTTCCTCGCCTCTGCCTACTCGGGCATCACTTAATGCCCAAAGCCTGGAGATCAATAGCTCCTACTTTTGTACATGTTAGGACAACTGTAGGAACTCCTCCCAAGTACACAAATGCCTCATTTATCTTAGAAGTTAGGCGGCTCTTCTCAGCCCTGTGCTGGGTGCAGATTTCCCGGTCCATCATTACGAACACTTTTTATGGCTTCTTTGGGTTCATCCCTGGCCTGAGCGTGAGACACTCCATTTGTTTTGGCAAGAACGTCCCTGAGATTTATATCCATAATTATACAAGTAACCTTTCCGACAGGGAATTTTAAAATTATCAACGCTACAGCAACCTACACATTAAGCGTGATTAATAAGATGCCAAATGGCCGTGAGTCTGCACCTCCCTGCTTGTTAAGCATGTCAGCCGGACTGTCCCCAGCTGATCTCACCACTGCGAGACGATACACAAGAGCACAGGCAATGACATCCGTCTCCCGAAGTTTCATTTCTGAGGATGAAGACTTCTTCTGGTCCTAGCTAATACTTTCTCCTGCCCCTCCTGCTCTCTGTCCTTTTGTCCCATTCCTGATGGAAGCCATACCGGTACAGCCGCAGCCAGAGGGATGCTGAAGAGGTGATGTTGGGATCTCAAGTGACAGGAGACAGATGAACACAAGCCCGGCTGTGAGGAAGCTTAAACGAGGTGCCCGTTTAAGCTTCCCTAGCACAAGGTCATCTCTGCAGAATTTTCTTGTCATCCCAGGGACACCTAATAGAGCTCTTCTCCTTTGCTGAGCAGGCACCAGCTTCACCTGTTACCAAAGCACCCACTAACCATATACTTAGGGAAAATAGCACCTGTCAGGATATATATCACATCCCATGGAGGTGTGGGGTCCCTTCCTTCCACCAGAAAGGGTTGCATGAGCATAAGACAAAGCCCTACCCTGTGCGGCATTGCTGAAGAATCGAGCTTCACAGCGTGCGTGGCAGGTTGCATAGCGCTATCTGTTACGGCCTGCATTGAGTCGAGGTTTTACAAAGCTTGCAGTTTGCTGATGGGTTGCCCAAAGACAGTAAAAATCAGTCACAGTCAAGCGTGTATTGACCTTCGGTCAATGGCTATGGCACACAAAAATTACAGGAGAAACCCTGATAGCTGCTTCCCTATTCTCTGGACGAAGTTATTGCATATAAATAGTGTATTGATTAGAGGCAGGAAATGTAAAGAAACCTCTCTGGGAAAACTGGAGGGTGGAAAGAAATTCAGAGACTGACAAAAGAGCTACTTTAATTAGGAAGGAAAGGAAAATAGTGGGAAGAATGAACAAACACAACCACCCCTCAAGAGCCTCCCACTCCAGATCTGGTAACCTGATCAGGAATCGTCTCTCTTAAGGAAAGGAAACAAGATTTTGGAACTGTTTTGGCTGGGCAATGGATGCAGGAGAATGAGCTGGCTTCCTCCCTTCACCCAGCGCTAATGAGGATGGAGGCTGGGGAAAAGAGCAGCTGTACTTTCTGCCGCTCCTGGATTTTGCATGCTGAATGGGGAAAGCGATAGATCCCCTAACAAGTGTGTAACAACCATGATTCTTCCTGCCTTCTAGCTCAAAGCACTTACAGTGCAATTACACATTTTGGACTCATTAGCTGTAATTACTAGGTTCTGTAATCTGCAGAATGTATCATTAGAGTATGGGCAACTTCAAGTGGTCTAAACATGCTCAGAGAAGTTTCTTGTTTATCTTCAAATATTTCTGCCTCAACCTTAGATGGCCATCGAGAGATGAAGGGCTTGTTCTCACACTGGGAAGCCTCACTGGCCCCCCAGGACCCTGCCAGAGGCTGCAGTTCCCCAGCCTGGGACAGAAAGGAAGCTCATGGGAAGACACATGGCCCTGGCCTGCAGCTGATTACGGCCTACAGGAGTCTTTCAGAAATCTGGCACTTCTTCACACGGCCACATAACGTGGTGTTCATAGTGAAGTCACAGCACTCCTTTGGATAGACACCATTACGCCAGGAGCGGCTGGATCAGCTACAGGGTTTTGGCTTGTGCCTCCTGTCCCTTTGCTACTGGGCACTGCCAGGACTCTGCCTTCAGTGGGATGGCTTTTGGGTTACACAGCTATCAACAAGCAGAAAGAAGAGGTTTTAATGTTCATTTGGGTCTACATAAAAACCCTGCCAACTCATCGCAAATGGGATCGGCTGGGGCCAGAGTGAACACAGGTTCCCAGGCTTATCTCAGTGTACACAAATGAACTGGTTTAGGACCCTCCTACCTATCAGACTGGTACAGCCCAAGTTTCTCCTCGCCCCAATTTCCGTGTCTGTGTCTCACTCCTCCTTCCACCCAGCCGTAACCTCCCTGTTGTGTCTCCCTTCAGCCTCCCCTGCATTTCAAGGCACAGGCTGGACCCGCAACTCCAGGCGGCTGCTCCCATCCATCCCTGCACACAGCCATTCCCCCCTGCAGTTGTCTCGCAGCCCAGATCCCACCTTTGCCCTCAAAATGAAATACAGCCTCTCAATTAACGTCCATCTCCCTTTCCAGATGGGAGAGAGCCAGGACTGGAAAGGTAGACTCTGTGGGAAAGCCTGGGATTCCCACACCTCAGACAATTAGCTTCTCCATATAACATTTCCCTGGGCAGATTAGCTTTGCTAGTGCGGCCTTTTCTCCAAAATCTCTTTAATTTCACACCGATGCATGAAACAGAAAAGCCGCTCTGCCCATCTGTCCTTGCAAAGCACAGCTCTGTCGGGGAACACCAGGGCTCCTGGTGGCACCGTGCTCCTGCTCAGAGAGGAGGGAATAGGGGAAACCACCCACAGCAGATGGAGAAAGGTGAGAGATCCCTCCAAGAGGACGGATGAGGAGAGGAGGCGAGCCAGCTCACCTCCACCTCAACACCCAGAGGCCTCTCAGATCCAGCTTTTCCTAAAAGCCAAGAGGCTGTAGCAGACGTGCCCAACGATGAAGATGGCTCTGCATTGTTTGCCTCAGGTTTAATGCCTTCAAGGCCAGCTGCCTACCAACGGCCACAAATCAGACAGTGCTACAGAGCCCAGCTGGAGCTAAGTTAACCACGGCAGCTGTACCTAAGCTCTGCCTCTGACCAGTCTTTGAGTATTTTTTCTTTATCCCCAGCATGTCTTTACAAAAGCTTTGCAATCCATCCTTACGTGATACAAAGCCAGGTTTTACCTTCTTCTGTTCCTGCTTATTGTTTTGGCCAAAAATCTACTTGCAAGGGGAAAAAAAAATTAATTAAAACCAAAAGAGCTTGTGTGATAGCCTGGACAGCAATGTACCCTTCCACACAGGTTCAAGAAGTTTTCCAGCATTAGTGTCAAACAGCAGAATAAATTAAGTGGAAGATGGGAAGAAATAGTGCCAAGTTGATCACTTGCTGTCTGCACACAGTGCCAGGCTGCAGCATCCCTTACTATCCCACTTTGATCTGTGGTGAGCCTGGGCCACATCAGCGGTGTTCCCATCCCTATCCTGCTTATGGCAGTGCCTCAAAAAGGCAGGCAGGCAGAGGAGGACGTCAGGCTCCCCTGAGGGGTAGGGACTGCCTGGGATAGTTGACCACTTCCAGAGGCAGCAAACTCCAGCCCCACTATCAGAGCTAATGCATCTCTCCAGGACAACAAAATACAACACAGTACAACATAGAATCATAGAATCATAGGTTGGAAAAGACTTCTAAGATCATCAGGTCCTACCCTCCACCCAACACCACCATTCCTACTAAACCATATCCTGAAGTGTCACATCTACACGTTTTTTAAACACCTCCAGGGATGGAGACTCCACCACCTCCCTGGGCAACCTGTTCCAATGCCTGACCACTCTTTCAGTAAAGACATTTTTCCTAATATCCAATCTGAACCTC